GGCCCAGCCGCTCCGCGGCATGTGGGATCCTCCCGGACCGGGGCACGAACCCGTGTCCCCTGCATCGGCAGGCGGACTCTCAACCACTGCGCCACCAGGGAAGCCCTGCTGGGTTAAATTTGATGAGCTTAATAAAACGTGACAAATTGAACTTGGGGAATGAAAACAATAACATTTTATTAATTTTGTCTTTTGAGCCCAAACCTAACGCAGAGGAAAGCTTCTAATATGGACAGAATTATTCATCATTAATCCCAAGAAGACAACACATGGAATATAGTCTTTATCAGAACCTCCCACTTCCTCCTCTTACAGGCTGGTGATACAGATGGATAAACACATCTTTTTCGTATGTTTATTGATCAGGCAGGAGGGGACGGTGGCATCTGGGCCTGGGAGGGACCAGACCCCCTGTCGCTTAGTCTAGGAAAGGACACGTTTTCTCTCCATTCACCTGTGAGAGCCTGGACGTGAAAGGGACAGTAGCAGTTGGTGGTTCAAGCTGTGGCTGTGTTACCAGAAGGGGAACCCCTTCCAGGGCCCAAGGGTGGGGTCTTTAATACTCAGAAATGAATTGTCCAAGGAGACACATGTACTGATGAAGCAGAAGACTTTACTTTCGTGGGAAGGGGCACCCAGGTGGAGAGCAGCAGGGAAAGGGAACCCAGGAGACCTGCTCTGCCACATGCTTGTAGTCTCAGGGTTTATGGTAATGGGTTTAGCTTGCCAGGTCATCTATGGCCAGTCATTTTGCTTGTGCCTGTATTTGGTCCAATTCCTGGCAGTGCAGGCATCTCAGTCAAGATGGTTTCCAGTGTGAGGGTTTCTGAGAGGTTGGCAGGACATATTGTAGGCTGGCGTCTCCTGCCTTCTTTTGGGTTCTCTCTAATTCTTCTGGCTGTTGGTAGCTTGTTTGTCAGTTTGTGTTCCTTATCAGGACCTCCTGTTGTAAGATAAATCATGCAAGCGGTCATTATCCTCCCTGGGCAGGGCAGGCGGTTTCAGTCAGTGGTTCCCTAACAGCTGTGGGGATCTTAAGTCACTGGTTTTTATTATGGTTGAGATAAAACATAAGGTTTACTTTTAGTGAGGCAAGGGTCTGGGGGCTTCAGGTGTGAAGCGTTAGAAGCACCACGTAGTGAATGAATGGAGAAGCAGGGTCAGCCCGGCGGCCATGGCTCCCAGACCCTCTGGTCACTGGCCCTCCTTCCCTGGACCTGCTGGGTTCCACTGACCGAGCCTGCGGGAATCCCTCAGGGTGTGAGCTTGACTCTAATCTTGTCCTGAGAAGCCTGCCTCATAGGGATGAAATAGAATTCATATTTTATGGCAAGACGAGCAAACCTTAGATACAAAATTTTTCTCTGCCCATTTGGGCCTCATCCCCACTTTAGTGTGTGCTGTGCACCTGCACTGACCAGCCCTCAGAGAGGGCCTTCCTTCTTCACCTCATCAAGGGTCACAGCTCCTTATGGGGTGGCCTTCCTTCTTCAACTTGTAAGGGACTGTGACGGCCCACCACTCACTGCTCGCACATGCAGGTCTGGATTGTGTAAACTGTCAGTGATACATTTGATGTGTGACCCTTTGTCTCAGAAACAAAAGAGCATCTCCCAGGTTGGCTTGAATAAAATCTTCCATTTTTTCCTTAGATCGACTGTTGGTTAATTTTACTGTCAACAATAGAAAGACTTACTTTAAAAAAAAAAAAAACACTTCTGTGAACATTTCTGTTAATCTCCACGGGTGCAGTGGGGGCAGGTGCTGTGACCCCGCGAGGCCCAGGGAGGGTCGGGGACTTGCCGAGGTCCCCCGGCAGAGCTGTGGCCGATTCTTACAGATCTGACGGAGGATGCAACACCGGAAAAAGAGCCAGGGCTGCTCCGTCTCGCTCTTTCCTGCCCCGCCGACCGCGGGGTGGTGATTGGTTGCCCATGGCTGCAGGTTCCCTCGAGCCAGGCCAGGAAGTGAGCAGCAGCCAGGTCCCTGAGGCCGGCCGCAGGCTGGGAGCCAGCAGAGGGCCGTAGGAAGCAGCCGTGGTGGAAGTGACGTCTGGGCCCCTGGCGTGGGGCTCAGAGCCGTGCCTGGCCTGGTTCCCCCACCGTGTCAGCCCTAAACACTGCCTTCACTTCAGAAGGTCAAGGGCGTGGGCTGTGGCCATGACGTTGCAGACAGCTTTGGGAACACGACCTTGATGGATGGTACAGTGAGTTTTGGAAAGAGGAAGAAAAGCAGTTTCCAAGCTTTGAGCAAAAGTAATTCTGTTTGAAAGATTTGGTGTAAGAAGCTGTCAAATATGGTTTTCACTCTGATGGTGAGTTCTATTTTTTTAATGATCACATTATACCAGGTTCACGTGGTATTGGGGTTTTCTCCAGAAAATGTGTTTCAACAGCCTCTGGCTTGCCTGCTGCCCCCCTTCTTTCCTTTCTTCCCCTTCCCTCCCTCCTTCCTTATAAGCCCTCTGGTTGGTTTGTTTATGGCAGAAAGAACACGGAAGCCTGAGGAAGGGCCAGGGCTCGGCTTGTGCCCTCTGACCCGTTTGCCTGGGCCCTTATCTAAGCTGACAGCTGTGGGGCATAGGGTGGGCTGGGAGGGGGTCCCCCGTGCCCACGGTGCAAACCCACCGTGTCTCTGCTTGTCCTTGTGCTCTTGTGTCCTCCCCCGGGGTGTGACCTCCCTGTGCTCCCAGGTCTATGTCACCATGCCGTGGGGAGCAAGGTTCTCTGACGGAGCAGTGGGCGTGGAGGAGCCATTTAACTTGTCCTTAGGGTTTTCTCGTTGGGAAACTGGGACCCACAGAGCAAAGGCTGCTGACGGAAGGCTTCAGACCAGACCCAGGGCTGGGGCTCCCTCCCTCTCATCCTCATGGTTGGGGACATTAGGGTCTAGCAAGTTCAGCTGCTGTTTTGGCCTTGGCTTTCAGGATTTTAGGAGATTCTAGGACTTTGAAAGAAAATGGGACAGTGAGAGCAAGCGGTTTTGGTACATTTGAATGAGTCCAGGCTGAGGAGGCTGATGGTGTTGAGAGGGTTCGTTAACTCCTTCGAGTCCCTTCGCTTTTCCCTCTTTTATCAGCGAGCAGAGAGTCCGTGCCCCGAGTCACACTGATGGTTGTCCACACCTGAGGTGTGACCGTGACGAGTGCACGGCAGCAAAAAGGACTTGCTCCTCTTCCTCGTGCCATCCGAGGAAGCGCTGGCCACGTGGGCAGAGGTTCGCGTGGGGTGACCACACGTCACGGGGCGGCACTACCACCCTCAGAGCCACTCTGCACTCTCCTTAGAGAAAACGGGTGAGGAGGACAGTCCAGGTCAGAGGGGAAGGGCTGGCTCCCATCACCGACGGCCCAGACCTGGGGGTAAAGCTGTTGTGTGTCGTGCGTCTTCCATGATCCCAGGTCACATGCGCGGCTGCCTGTAACCTCTGTGTAGCCAAGGGACATGTTTAAAATCTAGCCTTTGAGCCCTGCTCCCTCTCCCATCGGGTACTTACTATAAACAATGCGGTTCGTGGGCAGACACGGGACGGGATGGGGAGGTGGGAAGCACCTGCCCGTCATTTCCTCGTTTCTAAAAAGCCGCCTGTGGAGGTGAGTCCTGAGCAGTGCAGCCCCACAGCCGTCAGCATGATTTCAGTCGTCGCAAGCCGGCTTCCTCATTGACCAGTTTCTGGTGTTTTCAATGCTGGGTTGTGTTTTAAGCTTTTGTTTAATGGCTCAACATACACATTTGCCCCTGTTTGTTTTTAGGTGAGGTTTTGCTGTTTTTCCGTGTCTTAGGAGTTGCGTGTTATAAACCCCACTGTGGAGTAGGCTGGGCTTTTACAGGTGCAGGTGCGAACATTCTGGAAGCCGGACTTTGCGGCGATTGTTTTAAGCCCTAAAAGACTGAGTGTCCTTGTCCCTTTGGTTGTCAACCATATGAAGGTTCCTAGATCCACCCTAGAAAATCACCTCCCTGGAAAGGACTCTCTGTATTTATTGGCTCAGTTAAGATCCATGGTGGGTGTCTCCACAGCTCCCCCTGCCTTCTGGGGCTTCTCCCGAGTCTGAGCTCTCTGTGGCCTCCAGGTCACCACCTGTTGTAGGATCCTGGTCTTGAGCACTAGTGGAGGAACCTAAAGTGGAAGGCCGCCTCTCAAAACCCACCTCAGGCCACCCTTTCATCAACATTCTCGTCAGATGTGTCAAAAATGGATGCAAAGTTCATCTACGATTCAGATGAACCCGTGAACATTTGAAAGGTTCCCGAAGAGAGACAACCGCACATAAATGTCTTATAAAGGAAGGCCATCTAGAGTTTAAGGCTGATGTGCAGGTGAAAACCCATGTTTGTGGGAATGTGTGTAACCCAACGCAGTGTTCATGGCTGCGGCTGCATCAGACCCCAACCCTGAGCCAGTGAGGAAACACCTTGTCTGTGAATGTCTACTTCTTTTGTGGAAGAGCTGTGTAGAAAAGTGGAGAATTCACACCAAAGGCAACACTGTTACTTGGGGCTACGGCCTGTTGATTTTTGTGGAGGTAGGTGGGGCATCCTTTTGGGAGCCAAGTGGCACCTGCTTGCTAATTGTTGACTTTTCCTGTTATGTCTCGCACCTTAAACTCCCTCCATCTCATGATTTCTAAAGTAGTAATAAAACTTTGTCATCTTGGTGGGAAGATCATTCTAGTAGCGCTATCCTGTCATGTGGAGGTGTAGAGACCGCCTAGGAGGCCACTGTTTTCCCTTATCTGTAAGTCACATGGTGGGTCGTCCTTGTGAAAGTACAGGACAGTCCTGTTTATCTGGGAAGGTGATAGGGTTCTGGAACTTGCTAGTTCTTAATGGAGGGCTAGTGACAGTGGCTTGTTAAGGGACACACATCACCCGGTCCTCTTCCTTTCCCTGCAGGTACTCAGCTAAGACACCAGCGCCAGCCGCACCTGGCCAGGAGTCTGGTTTCCTTGTGGGAAGTCTCGTGGATTTGACTTGGCTGCTGCACCCCCAGGCAGGGACATGGCTGCAGAGGACATAACCTCGACCGGGCTGGGGTCCGGGAGGCAGCACCTCCATCCACTGAAGAGGAGGGGCTTGGTGCTGCTGAGACTCACGGCCATCGTCTTTGCTGTGCTTCTCTTTTGTGAATTTCTAATCTATTACCTAGTGATCTTCCGGTGCAGTTGGCCTGCAGTGAAAACTCCCGCGGATGCCGGTGCACTCGGGACCCCTGAGCCTGTGCTCAGGGCCATGTTCTTGGCTGACACCCACCTGCTCGGGGCTGTGAGAGGCCACTGGCTGGACAAATTACGGAGGTAGGGGCTGGACAAATTACGGAGGGTTGGGCTTCCCTGGTGGTGCAGTGGTTGAGAGTCCGCCTGCCGATGCAGGGGACACGGGTTCGTGCCCCGGTCCGGGAAGATCCCACATGCCGCGGAGCGGCTGGGCCCGTGAGCCATGGCCGCTGAGCCTGCGTGTTCGGAGCCTGTGCTCCGCAGGGGGAGAGGCCACAACAGTGAGAGGCCCGCGTAACGCAAAAAAAAAAAAAAAAAAAAATTACGGAGGGTTTTCTGTAGGTCTGTAGGCTGGAGGCTTGTCGGCCTCTCCCCACGGGTTGGGCCTCATGGCTTTAGGAACGTGTTTGTTATTTTCTCCTCAAAGAAGGACGTTTGGGGCATTTGGCTTTTCCTTTAACTTACTATTTACTGAGTGTCTGTTACGTACAAGGACCCAGGATTGTGAGTCGGGCGTGGGTCTGAGTCCTGTGGCTCTGAACTAGTTATCAGGCCTCTGAGCTCCTTTGTCTCCCCGTCTGCAAGTGGATTCATACGGGAAACCTCACAGGCCATGTGAACGAGGTCTGCAGAGGGGTCTCCCTCTCCCTCTCACCTCTCTGGTGTGAAATTTTGAGCCCTTGGGTTTGCCCCTCTGGGAGACTGGAGGAGGAGCAGATTTGTGGTTGTTTCCCTGGGGAAAGCTTAGACCTGCTTGGCTTGGTTTGTTTTCTCATTGGAAGGCTTTTAAAAATGTTATTTAAAAAAAAATTTTTTTTAAACTAATTATTTATTTATTTTTGGTTGCGCTGGGTCTTAGTTGTGGCAGGTGGGTTCCTTAGTTGTGGCTCATGGGCTCCTTAGTTGCGGCTCACTGGCTCCTTTAGTTGCAACATGTGTGCTCCTTAGTTGCGGCTCATGGCCTCCTTATTTGTGGCTCACCAGTTCCTTAGTTGCGTCTCACGGGCTCCTTAGTTGTGGCATGCGAACTCTTAGTTGTGGCACGCATGTGGGATCTAGTTCCCTGACCAGGGATCAAACCCGCATCCCCTGCATTGGGAGGCGGATTCTTAACCATTGCGCCACCAGGGAAGTTCCTAGAAATGTTATTTTTAACTGTGGTAAAATGCAAATTATGTAAAATTTACCATCTTAACCATTTTTAAGTGCACAGCTTGGTGGCATTAAGCACATTCACAGCACTGTCCAGCTGTCACCCCATCCATGCCCAGAACCTCATCATCTTCCCCAGCTGAGACACTGTCCCCACTAAACACTGACTTCCCCTCCCCTCCCCCAGCCCCCGGTTCCCCACCATCTACTTCTGTCTACAGCAACTTGACTGCTCTGTGTCCCTCAGTAAGTGGGTCCCACAGTAAGTGTTTGTCCTTTTGTGTCTGACTTGATTCACTGAGTGGAACGTCCTCCAGGTCCATCCGTGTGGTGGCAGGTAGCAGGATCTCCTTCCTTTTTGAGGCTGAGTTTTACTCTGCTGTCTAGACGGACCACATTCTGTTTATCTGTCATCTGTTCCCGGACACTGGGTTTCTTCCACCCTTTGGCCTTTGTGCTTGATGGCATGAAGGCAATTCCTGGCCTGGTGGCCCTGTCCCTGGCACCTTTTCGTCACCATGGCTTCATTTGTGCCTCCCTGGACAGGCCTTTACTCCTGTGGGTGGGAATGTCCTCCAGTGCTTGGGATGTCCCCAGGGTGGGTGAAGGAGGTGGGATGGACGGCGGGGCTGCTGTGCCTTCTTCCTCAGAGTTTTAAACCCCAGGAGGCATGAGCTAGACCAGGGCTAGGTGAGGCCTGGGTTCTGTGTTTGGGCCTCACCTGGGAGCCTTGTTTATGAGCAGTCCCACGAGCAGCCTGCCCTGTCCTCTTGCTGCTGCTTCTACACGCTTTCCTCGCCAGTGTGAATAACAGTAAATCAGGCCAAACCAAGATGTGTATTTGTGAGGCGTCCTGGGTGAAGCGGTGGCCACGCAGAGAGGTTTCTTGGCCTCAGTCTCCCTTGATGGACAGTTACCGTCCCCTCTATTGTGCACCAGACGTAACGCCCGCTTTGGGAGGGGAGAGGAGCTGGGATCTCAGGACAGTGGTGGAGTCGGAGTTGGCCAGGGAGCTGGAGGCAGGGCAGGCGCTGCCGATTTGAAGCCCCACCAGTGTGGGCGCCGTGCCCGCCCGCTTTATCCCGTGACTATCCGTGAAAGCAGGTTTCACTGTCTCGTTGACCACAGAGAAACCAGGAATCAGAGGCAGTAGGCAGCATTGGCGAGGCGACCACGGGTTGCTGGGGGGCGCCGTGTTGGGCTGTGGCCTGATGGGCTGCAGACCCGAGGCTCTGAGCGGTCATCTTCCTCCGGGAGTTCTGATGCTGGGCTGTGTCTCTTGTCTCCCCCAAGAAGCCCTGTGCTGCATCTCCTCTGTGTGTCCGTCGGCATTGGCATCTTTGGAAGCTGCATCCAGGCCTCCCAGGCCCCTGGCTCTGGTGAAGGAGGGACAGCTTCACGTGCAGGGTGGGGCTGGTCTGAGGGTCCCACCCAGGGAGGCAGTCCTTGCGGTGGTGGGAGGGGCAGCCTGATGGTCCCCTGGTGCCTTTGCCCCCTCAGTGAAGCAGGTGGGGACCCTGGCTCTCCCAAGCAAGGGGGGGGCCATGAAAGAAGGAGCGGGGACCTTTTAGTTCACATTTTAAATGGCCCATCAGACCATCTGCTGGATGTAGCTCTCTGCCCGAGAAGTGGATTGACCCTTCCTTTCCTCTTGGCCTCCAGGGAGTGGCAGATGGAGCGAGCCTTCCAGACCACACTGTGGCTGCTGCAGCCTGAAGTCGTCTTCATCCTGGGAGACGTCTTTGACGAAGGGAAGTGGAGCTCCTCCCAGGTGGGACCCTGCAACCCTGGCACCCTGGCCCTGTGCTGAGGTCCAGCATAGGAAGCCCAGGGGGTCGTGGAGCCCTGGCCGTGGGTCGGAGGTTCCAACATGAACAGTGTGTGGCCTGTCCTGAGGTCTTTGGGCTCTGTGTCAATGACAGTTGTGAGTTAGGTCGGCTCATCTTAGGTTTGTCTGTGTAGGAGACACCTGGGTTAGCTAGGCGCTTCCCATGAAGCTCTCGGAAGGGGAGAAGTAAGCAAGAGGGAAGCGTTTCAGTTGTCCCTGGAGTTACAAGAGTACATGCTGAAACGTAGCTTGACTTTAGGCTCTTAAAATATAATGCCTACATCATGAGATTGTGCTATGTACAGGTTACTTGCTTTCCTCTCATTTTCCTTCCTCTGAGGAAGGTGGAGGGAGCCAGGCCCTGGTGGGAGGTTCCTTTGCCCTCTGGCCCGAGACCGGGTGATGTGAACCTTTCCACAAACCAGAGAGAAAGGCCCTTCTCACCTTGGCTGTCAGAATGCTTTGCCTACCACATTCCTGGGATTAATGGGAAAAAAAAAAAAGCTGTTCTTGCTGCTTAGTTAAAAATGTTCTGTCACTAATGATTTTGGAAGATTTTTTTTTTTTTTTGGCTGCGCCATGCAGCATGTGGGATCTTAGTTCCCTAACCAGAGATCGAACCCGTGCCCCCTGCATTGGGAGTGTAGTCTTAACCAACTGGACCACCAGGGAAGTCCCCTGGAAGATATTTTTAAAAATTGATTGAAATTTTGCAGGACGGTCCTAAGCTGTACAAAGAAAGTCTTGGTCCAGGTATGACAGAAACCCAGTGTTCATAGGGTTGCAGTGTTTGTTGTGATCTAGTGCAGAACTAATTATGAAATAATGGAAATGCTGTATGTAAAAAGCAACTAGTTATAAAGTGAGGTTGGATATAGATGTTGGTTTTGCAAATCAAAGGGAACATTTTATCTTTTTCTAATTTTATGTTATTCTAACCTTAAGTATTATTTGTTAAAGTCTTTGTAAATGTATTGAAGGAATCTCTATCCAGCTTATTTCCCTAGGTTGGGCCAAATTTAAAACTTTTAGGATAAAGTTGACTACTATTCAACTAGGTATCGTCCAGCCTGGAGTGTTTGTCCAGTTTATGTTTTTAGGCTTAATAAAAATAAGAACTAAACAAGCATCATTCTCAAGCTTTAACAGTTAAAATCAGAAAAGTCTTGAGAGATTTGTTGGACTTTGTCTTTCCCCCACGTCTCATTGGGCCCTACCCCACTGTCCAGCCCCAGTGAGTGTGACCCCACGGGAGCTGCTGGTCCTCATCCTGGGGGGACACACAGTGTACTTGACGTTTCTGCAGAGCCCGTTCTTAGGACATGCCCAGATCTGCGGGCATCCTCACTCAGCCTGGGGTCCGTGCGTGGCCGTCAGGTGACCTTGAAGTAGTGGGTGTATGAAGCAGGTGGTTTGGGGAGATAACACCATTTCATTAAAATTTGGCATCAAATTAAATAGTTAAAATATTAAGTTAGTTTTGGGAAAAGAATGTTAGAAATTCCGCACGATGGCTTTATGAACGTCTGATCTGGGCGGGAGTGACCTCCTCACCCTCAAAACAGGGCAGGGAAGGCTCCCGGGCCACAGCGGTGGTGCTTCTCCCCGCAGGCTTGGGTGGACGACGTGGGGCGCTTCTGGAAGATCTTCCGACACCCGCCCCATGTGCAGTTGAGGGCCGTGGCCGGCAACCATGACATCGGCTTCCACTACCAGTGAGTGGTCAGAGGAGGCCCCTGCGCACGGCTGTGCCTTCCTGCCTGCCCAGCCTGGGGGGCCTTACCTGTGCGGTCAGGTGGCGGGGCTCCACGCGGGCGGGACTGCTGTTCTGCACATCATATGCCTGCCCCACAGCTGATCTGTATGTGCCCTAGGGTGATTCTAACTTGAAACTTACATTTCATGGCCAGTTTTCTTCGGGAATCAGACAACAAGATGATTTGGGCTTTACTAGCTAACGTTCACACTGCTTCTGACGTGCCAGCCTGTTAGAAGCACTGTACTTCTGTACGTTTAATCTCTTATTTTACCGATGATTCTTTATTACTTTACCCACTGTACCAGTGAGGAAGCTGGGGCCCTGGGGACAAAGCCGCTAGCCCCAGGCTCCAGGCCCTGGGCTGGTCAGTGGTGGGGCAGTGGGCGTGGCACCTCGCCCACCTGGGGCCCATGGGAGCTCAGAACGAAGGGTGCCGGTCGGGCCCTCAGGTCCCGGAAGTTACTTTCTGTGTTCATGATACTTCTTAAGATGTCTTAAAATGGCTCGTTCTGAAAACTGTTTCTTTTTACAATTGAACATAGGATGAACACATACAAAATAAAACGATTTGAGAAAGTTTTCAACCCTGAAAGGCTGTTTTCTTGGAAAGGAATTAAGTGAGTATTATCTGTGAATTCTTATGAAGACCCCTAGAACTTGAATTTCCTTAAGAAAGTTTAAACACGATGGTCATGTCCCAGATCATTGGATTAATTGGCTTCTTATCTCTAAATTCTTTAAGTGTCAGGCACTTTCTTCGTGCCCGGTGGACGTGCATGTGGGAAAGGAAGGCACATGTAGTGGGCGTCTCTGACAGTGCACTAGAGGGAAGGGGGCCCAGGGAACCACAGCTGGCCTTGTTGTCAATCCCAGTTTGGGCTCCTCTGGCCCAGCTAGCTCTGCAGCACCCCTACCCCCCGCCGGGTTTTAGGCTTTGCTCTGTTGTCTTATTTCACGTCATCTCCAAAGGGAGCCAGGGTGTGTGGGTGGGTCTTCGTCTCCCATTTTACAGCCGAGATCCAGGCACACAAAGTCAGATGCTCAGCGTGGCGGTCACCTGGGACCTTTCACACGTTCAGGGTGGAAAAGCCTTTACCGTGTCTTGGACTCGCCCAGAGATGCTGTTTTGTCCTCTTAGCATCGTCTGCACCTGCAGACACAGCACAGCCGGGCTGAGACTTCCAGCTGTGCTGGGGTTTCTTCCCCGTGGGTGTGTAGCTTCTGTGTCCCAGGGACACAGTTGCCAGCGGACAGCACAGGTGGCCCATGGCTGATCTCCTGCCCTTGCCTCAGTTTCGTGATGGTTAACAGTGTCGCACTGGAAGGGGACGGCTGTGATATCTGCTCTGGAGCAGAGGCTGAGCTCCTGGAAATCTCTCACTGGCTGAACTGCTCCCGGGAGGTAGGACCCCACACCCTCCCACCCCCAGGACATGGCCTCCCCGCCTTCCCTCCCCACCGTCCACCGTCCAGTGAAGGCGGGGGTGTGAGTTAAGGGCCTGACCTCTGACCAGCAGGAGCATCGCCCCCAAGAGTGTGGAGACGGGCAGCGGCTGCCGGCCTCGGCCCCCATCCTCCTGCAGGTGAGGGGGTCCCCGCCCGTGTTTGGAGGAAGTGTCCAGGGTCTTATGGTCCCCTGACTCCTCTCTGACCCTGGACAGCACTTCCCGCTTTACCGGAGAAATGATGCCAACTGCTCCGGGGAGGACGCGGCACCCCCCGACGAGAAGTACACCCCCTTCAAGGAGCGCTATGACGCGCTCTCCCAGGAGGCCTCGAGGAAGGTTTGCTGCCTCTGGGACGCAGGGACGTTGGGGACACAGGGACGCGGGGTGGGACAGGCAGTGCCTGCACAGTTGTTTCATCCTCTCCCCGCCGCCCCCTCCCCAGGAAACCCACTTCTGTTCCCTAAGATCTAGTTAATAATGTTCTCAGCTATTCTTTATTCTGTTTTCCTATCATCACGTATTTGGGAAGGTGAATGACACTTAAGAGTTAAGTTTTTGGGGACTTAATTAGAATGTGCTTTCTTAAGTGTGTGTGTCTGTATGTATATATTCACACGAATATTTATATACTATATGGTGTATGTAATATGCAAAGCAAAATATAAGTACATTTATGAAGTAGATTTATAAAAATATTTATAAAGAGAAAATATAATTAAAAATATGAAATCTGGGATGAGAAGAATAGATTCTCCCTAAGAGCCTGAGCTCAACTTTTGGTGGAGTCTAAACAGCCCAAAGGATTTTCAGGGCCGAGGGAAGCGGGCCCGCCCACCTGCGGGGGCTTCGTGGTAGCCACTGGGAGGTGGCCGCGGGGTGGTGTCTGTGGCGGTGGCCCTGGGCCCCAGCTGTACTCTTCCCACCTCTGCTGTCACTGCAGCTGCTGTGGTGGCTCCGGCCGCGCCTGGTCCTCAGTGGCCACACACACAGTGCCTGTGAGGTCCTGCACGGGGCTGGCGTCCTGGAGGTCAGTGTGCCATCTTTCAGTTGGAGGAACAGAAACAACCCCAGTTTCATCATGGTACGTGAACCTTTATTTTCGTCTCAAAGCTTTCATACGTATTTAAATCAACACAGTGATCAACTACTGAATTGCTGCAATCTGTGAAAATACACAGAAGCTGTAAACACCACCCCCCAGGCGTACCAGCAGGAACACCTCTCGGGGACAGTTGCGGCTGCGCAGGGACACCTCAAGGCGTCTCATCCTGCGTCCCTGCAGTGCCCTTGGGTACCAGCTCTGCCTATTCCATTTTCTAAGGAAGCAGGGTCATCTTGTGTTATTTTCCAAACATGCCCATTTGTTCTGACAGAAAAATGCTACAGCTCTTGCACGTTTATTAAAGATGTTAATTAGTGATGACCTGAAGCTTCGGCTCCTTTCTTTGACCCATGAGTCCAGCATCCAGGTCACAGTGCTTTCATGTCAGGGGCTTTTACTTCATAACAAGATGGGGAAAACCTCCTGTTTTCAAATTCAAAGTAAATGAACGTTCCCCACTGTCATTCCACATAGCAAAAACATCTACCAAAAAAAAAGAAAAAAGAAGCCCACTGAGATGCCCCCAGCACACCTATTTCTGGAAACAGTTGCTTATTTCAGCATCAAGTGGCGTGAAAAACAGCCGTGTCCTGCTTGTTCCTGGATGACCACTGATGCTAAGTCTCCAGGCCTCTCTGAACCCCTCTTCCATGTGCCCCCCCAGGTTTTAGAGGAACCCCCCGTGCCAGGGGCTAGATTCAGTGGAGGTCAGCTCCAGGTCGTGTGCACTCAGCACACTGGGACCCAGTGCTTGGGGGCGGGGGGTGGCTAAAGGCTGTGCCCTCGGTCTCAGGTGCCTCACGCCCAGCGGCTGCCTTTCCTCGGTTGGGTCTATGGGTTGGCGCTGTCACGGCAGCTAACGGTCTCGCTTATTCTCCAGGGCAGCGTCACGCCCACAGAGTACGCCCTTGCCAAGTGCTACCTGCCCTGCGAGGACACGGTTCTGACCACGTACTGCACAGCGGCCGGGGGCCTCGTGCTCCTCACATTAGTCCACGCTGGGCTTGTAGCCTCACCTTTTCATTTCGGTTGGAACATGCTCAGAAAATTTAAAACCAAGTGAGTAGCAGGAGACGTTCTGCACTTAGTAGTAAGTCCCACAGCCAATGAAACTGAACTTCGGGCAGTGCTTACGGAGGGCGAGACCAAAGTGGGCCATGGGCACAGCTCGTAGGATCTGGGTTGCTGGTGCAGAGTCCTGCAGAATCAATAGTTGATTGTGCTGTTCTCACGCTGTGAAAATGGGACATGTCTCTACAGCTGGTCTGTCTTCTTGTTTTATCAAATATATGTGTAATCAAAGATTGTGTCTGTACAGTGTGTAAAAGCTATGAATGTCATCACTTGCATGCACTAGACAGCCTTCCTTCCCCAAGACGGAGGGTTAGCTGTTCACAAATGCTGGGTTTGCTTCTGTCCTCCTATGAGTAGTTCTCAAGTTCTTATATTTTAAAAAGCTGTATACTTAAAATAAAATACAGATGCTACAAGCAGGAATACATTGTTCTCAAGGCTTTTGTATTTCTGTGCTAAATTAATGGAATCACATTTTTATTAATTAATTAATTTATTGTGGCTGCGCCACGCGGCATGCAGGATCTTAGTTCCCTGACCAGGGATCAAACCTGTGCCCCCTGCAGTGGAAGCACAGAGTCTTGACCACTGTACCGCCAGGGAAGTCCCTGGAATCAGATTTTTAGATGAGTAATTTTCTCTCCAGCAGACCAAGTTGTTAAATTTGAATTGAATGCCTGTCAGTGATCAAAAGAAACTTGAAAAAGGGACCAGGAAGAGGCTTTTTGTATTTAAAAATAAATATGCCGTGGTAATTTTAAACCGGATAAAATGTATTCTTTTTGTATTTTTTTTCCCTAAGAGTCTGGCTCTTCAATCAGACTTTTAAATAGGAAGTTTAGTTACAGCGGAATTGTTGAATAATAATGCATGTAAAAATATACAATTTCATTTTTTTGGGTGTATGTGTGGGGCTGTAGCTCTTCAGATTTTCATGTTTTACTTTGAAAATGCAATGGGAACTGAAAATCATTTCCACTTTATATGTCTCAGTTCAACTGAGAGTTTTATGAAATAATCAAGGATGACAGGAACAGGAATTCGATGATAATGAAATAAAAAAAATGTGATGGTGCATTGTCTGTAAAGTTGTCATCCTTTATTTCATGGAAGAGCAGTATTTAAATGTGGATGAGTTTACAAAGGATTATAAGATGCTGCAGTAAACTTAAAAACATTAAAGACTAAAAGACGAAATGGAAGTTAATGCAGTAACGCAGGCTAGGCTGCCCCATCTCTGCATTTGTGTCATTGAAATATAACCTTGGACAATTTAAAAGATTGTCTTTGACCTGAGAAAACCGCCCTCAAGGCCATGGATAGACGAGAATGGCTTTCGAGGTCTTGAGCTGGATGTAACTCATGAGGCTGCATTTGCAAGTCTTTCAAGGTTGAGAAACAGCCATGTATTTTGACTTTGTATTTAAAATAAAGGTTTTGTAATGTTTCTTCTTCAAAAGGCAAATCACATTTTATCCTTTGATTTTCCAAGGCCAGACACAAGCCTGGAACCCTTGTCTTTTTCTCACTCTTTGTTTACGATGAGACCTGTGGTCAAATAAGTGGTTCAAAAACTTTGACTAAGGGAATGGGTGACCTTGGAAACGTCTTTAAATTGCCAGATAATTGAGAAACATGTTTTCTGGAGAGAAAAAAACATCCTTGGTTCCCCGAAAGAAGCTTGTGATGTGGGTGTGGCATTTTGTGAAATGTGGATGATTAACGTGTATCATTTATATTTATATAAATTTATATATATATATATATATATATATATATATAT